GGGGTTCAAGTTATTATTTTAAAAGAAGACATTTGTTTTTTGTGAATTGTCGTTTCCGTTGCCAGCATTTATTAAATTACATTATTGTTATTTTTTGGTATTTTCTCGATTTAAAATACGCCTCACTCTGCCATGTTGAACTCCCCCCGCAGCGCCCGCAAACACACGCAGCGTTGCGCTATCGCTCTCATCTCAAGTGCCCAATAACCTACAAATACAGGAAATTGATAGCGTTGAAGACAGATTGTCTTTATTCGAAATGCCTTTGCTCAGCAGTTGAACAAAGAGCAGGAACCTTCTAGATACATTATCCTTTCCATAACATGACAGCTTTTTAAAAATCACCATCTTAGATGGTAATACACATGTAACTCCTTGAATTCAAATAGAAGTTTTTCTTAAAAAAAAACTAAACAAAACAAAAATGACGCGTGTGACTATATTAGCACTGAACCACAGGTAAAAAACAAACAAAATAAAACATTTGGATGTAAATGATTATTTCTTCTTTTTTTGTGTGTCATCTTAAATAGACCGTCTAGTTTCATGTGCCAGGTTTTCGATAAATATAAACAATATGACCCGTATGTAATCCAGCCTATAGGTCCTGATTTTGACCACCTAACATTAAGAGTGCCAAAATGTAGACTATTTAGGCCTATACAGGAAATAAGAACGCTAATTGTGCAAGCCAATTTTTTTTTCAAAATAAAAGAGTACCCTATATCAAAAAATCAACACAAACCAGCATATCGGCATTGAAATGTACACAATAAATAAAGTTAAAGGCCTCCTTTTTTCTGGTTGCCATAAACGTTATAACATTTACATTTCTTACAGTTCACAGGGCACCGTCCTTTACACCAAATCCCAGCTCCTTTGCTCAGGTCAGGAACTTGTTGAATTTCTGGAAAAGTTAGTTTTTTTCCTCCTTTTTTCGCCATAACATGTCCAAGGCAATTAATACTGTCCATGCCTCTTTTTTTAATGGGGCGCGCTGTCCATAATATATTTACATGCATTTCAGTATTCAAGTGAATTAAAAAACAAAAAAAAGTCTTGAGGGTTACATGGCAGCGGCATGTGCGGATGAATATGGGTCTATCCCAGCCTTGGTCATACCTGGAAAAAGTATGTAGGCCACCGGGGGCTGTAAACTCGACGCTGACCAGGCCGTGCAGTTGCACGGGACAACGTAGCCCGGGTTCGTGGGCGACGGGTGGGTGTGGGTGTGCTGACTCGGGCACCCGAGGCCGAACGCCCCGTTCTGGTATCCCAAAGAGGACGCGTACGGCAAAGCGCCGGCGCTCAACCCGTGCGGCATCTCCGTCATCTTCTGGAGGGCGCTGGAGGTGAACTGGCTCGGGTCGAGGAAGGAATACGGGGAGCTCGTGGGCGGCAGGAACGCTCGGGCTTTCTCCGAGTGGCTCAAAAGGGAGTCTGCGGCCGAGATAGAGAGTCCCTTCAGGTGGTCGCTGTCCCCGAGGTAAGGCAGAGGGAAGACGTACCTGTCCTTCTTCAGCAGGTTCTTGGGCTTGCGTCGGGGTCTGTACTTGTAGTCGGGGTGCTCCTTCATGTGCTGAGCCCGCAGCCGCTTGGCCTCATCGATGTACGGTCTCTTCTCGGACTCGGAGAGCAGCTTCCACTCGGCGCCCAGTCTCTTGCTGATCTCCGAGTTGTGCATTTTAGGATTCTCCTGAGCCATTTTCCTCCGCTGGCCCCGGGACCACACCATGAACGCGTTCATGGGTCTCTTGATGTGATCGGCAGGTTTTGACATCTTGGTTGTTGTTTTTTAAATAAAATAAAAATAAAAGTGTACTTTTTTTATCCCCAATGTTAACGACGAGGGGGGAAAAAAGTTGTTATCGGGAGGAAGGGGAAACTATTCACCTGTCCAGATGCCAGATCTACCAGTCATGCCACGTCTGGGGATGTTCTGAGTCTGGGGGTAGAGGGGTGGGGGGTGGGGGGGCAAACGGCGAAAATGAAATAGAATCAAATAAAAAAAACAAAAAATCCAGCGAACTGGCTTTTGCTTTTCCCAGAGTTAAAAACACACCGACGCGTTCAAGTCCGGTTACAACTCTCGTTCAGAACTGCGGCAGGAAACACAGGCGGAGCAAAAAACACATGTAAGATGTAAAGAAATCCACAAAGGTGAAAGCAATGTTCCGCAGTCAGTTTGCAGGAGTCGTAAAAAAGTGTTATTTTCTTTTTGTTGCTGCGACACACTTCCTCTCTCTCTTTCTCGCTCTCTCGCTCCCTCTCTCTCTCTCTCTCTCGCGCGCGCTGAAGGTTTGTCGTCAAGCACCTGGCTTGGAAATGAGCGGAAGAGCGTGAATACGAGCCAAAAGCGGTGAAGTTCAAAGGCTGGGCTGGTTTGGTTCCCGCACGCAATCTGACATAATCTGCAGGGCGTTCACTCGCCAACCTGAGCGCCCAATCAGCACGAAGACCGGCTACTATAATACCTTCAACACCCCCCCCCCCCTCATTCCCTCCAAAAGAAAGAAGAATTATATGTATGTACATTACAACATAAACAAAGACCGGGTGGTGGTAAAAAGAAGAAGAAGAAGAAGAAGAAGAAGAAGAAGAAGAAGGATACAAAAAATAAGGAAAGAGGGGCGCGTGTGGGGGGGGGGTGTACTCTGGATCCCTCCCCGAATCCATTTAATGTAATGAATCGCAACAAACATGGACCTTCAACCTTTTCTTATTTTCCAGCTAAAACCTGACTTCAATCCAGAGAGGTGACTGTACCGTGCAGCCGATTTACTGCACGGCTTTACACAGAAATATATGGCACAATACATATAGATACACCATAGAGTTATGATTTGTGTATATTTTTGTATTTATTTTTGAGTGATGGGATGTATAATAATAATAATGATAATACTACTAATAATAATACTAATACTAATAATAATAATGAATAGGCTCTTCATTTCTTGGAGAAATTTGAATGAAAAAACATAACATGGCAGACCCCTGTCTTGCTCAGAGACACTTCAGCAGCTGCAGGGTGGTCACAAAAAAGCACAGTGTGAACGGGTTCAGCACTGGAAGGGACAAAAAAAAATTATATATCAAAAATATATTTAAAAAATATATACAAAACATATTTCGCATCAGTGTTCCAGCAGGTGTGACCTTTTCCCCAGCATTTCACTCTAAAGAGGATGCCACAATAACTATCACAAAACTAGCATTTCCTTTATAGTGAAACGGCCTGCCAGGCGAGCACGCACGCGCGCGCACAGTTAAACCCATATTGATATGTGAACTTCTTTGCGCGAAGCTCGCCTTGCGCAGTGACAGAATTACAAACACCGCGGAAATGTTACATCAACTGTAAACGCTCGCAAAGCCGCTATTGTGAGCCCATAATTGTTGCATTAGCTCGCATTGGTTTGACAGTGTGGTTTTAAGGAGGCACAGAGTGATCGTTTTAAAAATGCAAATTTCAATGGGGACCACTGCCTAATAGCCCTCGGGCTAATGTGCGTGATGTATGATTCCTTCAGCTGTGATTATTAAAGGAAACACAGACAGATGATTCCTTTTTTTCTTATTCTCACACCGCCAAAATGCTGTGATTGGAGATATATATATATAGAGAGAGAATCCTATCAGTTACACTGCTATAGATGTATTTAAGGTTGTCTTTGCCTGTATGGGCCTGGCTATATATACATATATGCATTTACCCACACGCGAATGTTGTGGACCACATCCTATATTGCAATCATTTCATCTTTCTGCGCGCGCGCGTGTGCGTGCGTGTGTGTGTGTGTTACACAAATAGGCTGCACACGTCACTTCAAAGAAGATGCTTTGACATCACATTGACATATCTCTAATATGCGAGCGTGTCGAATTAATTAAGAAAATGAAAAAGTAAAAGACTTTCAAGGCTGAAATCTTAAAGCATATATTTATTTTCATTGAGGTTTCATTCCGTACAGACAGGAGGAAGAAGACCAAAGTCCATTTATTTTTGTCCCCCCCCCCCCCCAAAAAAATAGGACGAAATAGAGTTTATTCTCCTGCCTTCTGATATTCCCATATTTTAACACCAATCTGTGTCTCTTTCTCACGCTCTCTCTCCGCTCCCGGTCTCCCCGCGCACGCATGCGCCAAATCGGTAGGTCGCAACATGGAGATTTCCATCGTATCTTTTTTTACATACCCCTGAAATTATTGTAAAAAAAAAATGGAAGAAGAAACAAAACCCCGTTTTTTGGTGAGGAGGACCCCCC